TTTTGAAAATCATATCCAGTTGCTTGAGTAACTGTTTTTTGGCGTACCATGTATTAATGTAACCAATGCAGTTTATTTCTTTGTTTACAACGGCTCTGGCCTGCTGCACTGCCTGACCTAATTGTTTGTTTGTTTGTTTATTTGTTTATCATTTAGAACGACTCTGTGACCCTGTTGCGGTGCCTGACCATTGCTGCTGAGATGTTACAGACTCTGACTCTGAAGGGACTCACCCCCACCCTGCGCACACTCGTGGACTCACTGGTACTAATTGTTACTCATCTGCCTATCTCTAGATTTTGTACCACCAGTAATTTGAATATTTTAATAAGTTGACTGTTGATCAAAGGTATAACCCATAGTGAGCACTCCATTGTGGTTTCCTGCATTGCAGTTTTCTCAGGAAAGACAGTTGCATTTTGTACAATATTCCACGTGGTCAACAACAGATACATTTTTGTACATTTGTACATGTTGCTACATTTGTGCGCTGCACAGACCTAGAGGTGCAATCATTACCAGAACTGCTAGATGGCATTAGTGCATCGGTTCAGTACCTTGCTGCTCCTGATTTTCTTCATACTCCATACATCAGCCTTATTATTGCACACTGATACAATTTTTAAAAAATCACAAATTTAACTCCCTACATGCTAACCTTTGCTGTAACCTTAGCTGTCAGGAGTACATGTATACCTACATGTATGTCATTGCTGTCTCCCCTCAGATGCTGACAGGTATTCAGAGTGAGGACCCTGCTGTGCGTAACATGGCTGTCCGCTGTCTGGGCCTGACAGCTGTGCTGTGTAAGGACACAGCTGTGCAGTACCTACCTCTCTTCCTACAGGTAAGGTTTCTCTTAGGCCAAACCAATTTAATTTCTTGGTTTGTAAACGGATTCACCCACTTCATTTTTTTCTGATTTGCAAATAAAAATAAAAATTCAGAATCAACTGCAAAATGCTCATATTTTGCCCTGAACAGTTGAAAACAGTCCTTTTCTTCCTAGTTGTTACAGTTATTCCATCTTTCAATGCAGTAGTTTCGTTAAAAGTTAAAAATTCATAGTCTAAATTCTAAATTTTTTTGGTGTGTTGACTTCAAGGCTTCTATCGTACCATTTTAGGCCCCAATAGGATGCCTAGCCCTGTTCTTACTTTTATTTTTTCGCCTGCCCGCTCCATTATTTTTGTAGAAAAATCTGTTAACCAAGAAATTAAATTGGTGAGGCCTAATAGTAGAATTCAAAATCATTTTCATCTGAGTCATTTAGTTGAAAATAGGTACCAGTGTAAAGTGCCTTTTCCATGTTTAAGGGCACAACACACCGTGACCTGCCAATTCGAACAATGGGATTCGAGCCTAGAACCTCCAGCTTCTGAGTCCAAGTTACTTGATCTCTCTACACAGGCTTCCCAGGTGGATCTGGAAGCGATCCAGGTCACGGCCTTGCGCACAGTATTTGACCTGCTGCTCATCTTCGGCCTGAAGGCCTTCGGGGCGGAAAACTCTGAACAGCAGAACCAGAGCGGGGAGGGAGAGGGGGAGACGGAAGAGCCCCAGCAGGCCACGCCTAACAACACAGCCAACAGCCTACTGTCTATCCTCACTGGCATGCTGGACTCAGAGGTGGGTTTTTGTAGTACATGTAACTTTTGTTAAAAAGATGGTGTTGCCTGTTTCAGTCCGAAAGATAATTTGTCATGTCATATTTTATGTTGAAAAAAATCTTGAAGAGGTGATAGTCACCTATTATGACAATCCTTCCACAACTAAGGAAAGTCTTCATAAATAAATGATCCAAAGAAATAGTACACATGTAAAAGCTCATTTAGAATTAAGTTGATTAAATTTTGTTACCTCATTTAGAATTAAGTTGATTAAATTTTGTTACATGATAATATCAGCTACAACTGCATGAAATTTTAGTGCGCAAAAAAAAAAGGAATTTAGCCAATTCCAAATGTTATGGAGCAAAGATATTTTTAAGAAGGATAGGATGTAGAACTTACAAAGAAAAATTTTGTAACCTGGTTGCTTTATGTTTGGAAATTTCCCCCCAGAACACACCAACACAGGAAGCTGGAAGCTTGTGTCTAATGGTTGTTTCAAAATTTAATGCATATTTTCTAATTAATAAGTCTTCTCCACATTTCTTCCCTCAGAACACAGATATCCGCACCAATGCTGCAGAAGGGCTGGCTAAGTTGATGATGTCTGGCCGTGTGCTGAGTGGGAAACTCCTGTCCCGTCTGCTGCTCCTGTGGTATAACCCCACCACCGAGGACGACACACATCTCCGCCACTGTCTGGGCACATTCTTCCCCATGTTCGCTTTCTCTGGGAGGTTTGTTGTCTACAAGATTACTTCACACAGTCCTGATTCTAGAGAGATAGATGATATGTCATTGAGTACTTACCTGTATCCTACCATGGCTACCTTGTCGTTGTCCACTGTCTGGGAACATTCTTCCCCATGTTTGCTTTCTCTGGGAGGGTTGTAGTCTCCTGTTATATTCAGTCATTGTAAAGCCTCAAAAACTTTGTTGTTGTTTCTCGCTGAATACATTTGTAATTGACAGCCTTACTTCCACTGATTTTGGTATTAAGTTATATTTTTTATCACAAAACAAAATCTTGCTTTACTTGAAATTGGTGCAAGTTACATGTAACATGTAGGAAGTGGAAGAAGCATAACTTGAGGATGTTGGACTTAGTCCTTGTGTGTGTAACGGCTTGTAGTTACATGTACCAGATCCAACAACAGAGATGGTGTGTAACTGGTTTTGTCTGTTGTTGTCATTTTGGACTTATCTGTAACTTTTAAGTTAACTAAGATCTATCCCTGTCCCTTCCCAGGTCCAGTCAGGAGTGTGTGGAAGAAGCGTTCCTCCCCACCCTGCAGACGTTACTGGACGCCCCCGACACGTCGCCCCTGGCAACCGTGGATGTGGGCAACGTGGGCAGTCTGCTGACCACGCTGACCAGTCGCTCCAACATGCGGCAGTTCTGTGTGGAGAAGACAGGCAAACCTGACCTGCCTAGGGACATGGAGGTCAGGAAAATAACTAGACAAGCCAACATTTGCAAGCAACCATAGCATATTTCACACCATCTCCTTATATAAAAACAGAGTCTTGCAGTGGCACCCTAACATAAAATGGACCAGTCCAAAATCTCTAAAAAGGAATGGATTCTTTTATGTCCCAGGGACATGGAAGAGAGGAAAACAAGTAGAATCTGGACAGGCCAAAATTTGCAACCAAATGCAGCATATTTCACGCCATCCTCGTATGCAAGAATGGAGTCTTCCAGCGGCACCTGCATGTAAAATGGACCAGTCCAAAATCATTAAAAACAAATGAATTATTTTCAAATTACCCCAGTTCAGAATTTGTGTATAAACAATTGTCAATAGTAGATATATTAATACAATAGTAGATATATACAATAGTAAATATACAAGAATGGATTCTTCCAGGAGTACCAATATGCAAAATGGACCAGTCTAAAAATACTCACACACAAAATGGACTTTTTCATAATCAAGTTATGGGTTTTGACGAAAAAATTACGAGTGTAATAGGAGGAAGTAAGCACATTGAAAAACGCCAGTAAACAATATGTCTTCCCTGGTGAAATAAGATCAACCAAAAATAAAACAAACTTATTTTCCACAGGACTACTCAGCCCATGACAACCTTGCCCTGAAGCTGTGTAATGAGGTCCTGAAGGACACCTACTCCCCTGATGTCAGGATGTTCTGTAAGATCCTGGGAAACCTGGAGCCCACAGCTGCCAGTACTGCACACCTGAAGGACCTGTATGTCTTATCTCAGCAGATCACTCAGGTGAGCCACTTCTTACATCTCATAAGACATCTTGACTGTCAGTGTGATGACATCAGCAGCATTTGTTCTGTTTATATATTGTTTTTACTCTGTTTCATGTTCTACTTCAGACCAGTAAGGTCAATGACCTAGACCAGACGTCTGTCACCATGGTAACTGGTGCTGTAGCAGACACCCTGTGGTGTTGGGTTACAATGGCAGGATTAGGGTTGTTTTATTGTGTCAACGTACTGAAGTATTGCTTTGGGTAGTTGAGCTGTGGGTTTATATGTCTGTCCATATAGAGCAGGTTGACAAAATGTGGGTGAAGATTGGCAGGCAGAATGACAGGTCAAAAGGTCAGACACGGGAAATGGGGTGAACTTGAAGATCCCAAAAGCCAAATACAATAGACTAAAGCCTGTGAAACTTACACAATGTATGTCTATTATGGCTTTTCTGAAGTGTGACCATGACAGAGGAAGACATGGTTTACTCATTTTACTGGATGCCTTTGACACAGTATTGACATCACACTTCAGAGAAGTATTGACAATACTGTGGGAGTTACAGAGAAGCGACAAGTATCACTGGGTCAACTAGCCTATTGAAGAAGACCAGAGCAACCGGTCAAAAGCTGTAGGAGAGAACAATCCTTTGTCAAAGTTTGTGTTGAAACAAAAGTTTCAACTTTAAACATGCACATACAAATGTTTCACTAACGTCTTTCCACAGGAGGTGGATGACAGAATGTCCCTGCGCTCGGTGGAGCAGTTCCAGAAGACCCTGTGTGAGCTGTGTCCTGGTCTGACAGGTGACAGTCAGGAGAACACAAGTCAGACAGAACAACAGAAGGAGAGTTCTACAGAACAGCAGGCTTCTACAGAACAACAGGAGACTACAGTAGAGGGAAACACTGAAGACGCTCAGGGCAAGAAGGGTACTGATCAATCCTCACCTCAGAAATTACAATCAAATTACACTTGACTCTCAAACACACAAATTCAAATTAACGGAGCCAGTTTATGTAAGGATGTCACCCTAAGGCTACACCAATTTAATTTGTTGTTTCTCGGATTTTCTCAGAAAAAATCAGGAGCGACAGGGCGAAAAAAAAAGCAGGCCAAGGCACCACATGATAGCCTGAAATGTTACAATATGAGCCATGAAGTGAATATACCAGGCTGGTTTATAATTAAAACAATAGATTTTGAAATTTTAATGAAACAAATTGTATTGTTACATTGAAAAACTTAAGAACTAGGAAGAAATGGACTTTCATCAACCCTTGGGGCCAAAATATGTCTTTCATTGAGCATTTAATTCAGAACCAAAAAATTTTTTTTTTGCAAATCAGAAGAAAATGTACAGTCAGGGCGATCCGAGAAGCAACAAATTAAATTGGTGTGGCCTAAGAAAGGCTGAAGGAGGGCCCAGGAAACCAGATGAATTTGCAATTTTTTTTAAATGTATGTCATTAAGATCAAACATTCCTCAACCATTTTGTATCAGCTATAAGTATGCCTAGAACACTCTTATAGTCTTAACTTGTACATACATGTAGGAGACTTTTAGCTTGCTAAAGAGTTGTGTAAATATCATAATGACCTTTTTTTAACCCATTTGTATCTTTACCCTAGATGATGAACAGAACAGTAACAGTCAAGCCCCAGAGAAGCCACCAGAGGCATCAGTCCTGACAGCTGTGGAGAATGTTGACCAACTTGAGGACAACGTGTTTGCTACTCCTGCACCACCCACCAACAAGAAAACTCAGAAAGGTTCTGTTTAATACTTAATATGTTGGATTGATAAGAGAGTTCAAACATTGCACAAATGTAGTTATGTAGGCTTTCTACTACGTTTTAGTTGTTTAAAGTTAAAACTTTTGGTCCGACATAAAAAATTCTCTCACCTAGACTTTTCGACCAGTCACTCTGGTCTTCCTCAGTAGACTGACCCAGTGAAGCTTGTCACGTGGCTTCTTTGAAGTGTAACGTCAACACTTGGTCAAAGGTATCTTGTAGACGATGTCGCCCCCGTCGCGGTTCAATGTAGGGTGATGGGCCCTCTCAAGAAATTGTATAAGTTTTAGTTGTATTTTTTTGGCCTCAGCTTGAATGTTTGGTAGTATATTTTGTTTAAACCTGTTTCTTTTTGTTCTACCACAGGTAAAAGTACAGCTGCCAAGAGAAAAACAGCAACAAAAACTCCAGGGAAAACTTCAGCCAGGAGAGGCAAGAAGAAAGCAGAATGGGAATCAGACAGGTACTTGTTTTCTACCATGGCACTTTCATTCATGTGTACATGTATGTGTAGGTTCATAAAATTGAAATGATTTCAACCATTGCAAGCTGAATAGAATGAGTGAGTGTAAAAAATGCTTCTACATGTAATTCCACAGGTCTTGAAATAACACCTGCATATGCAGGATATTGTAGGTGAAATTGGAGCTGTGTATTAGGTATTTCTGAACTGATTTCAGATTGTATTTCTGATTGGATTGTTATTTGCAGCATTAAATGAAGTATAAAACAAATAATGGTTTCTGAACAGTTTTTGTATTCAGTTAAGACTGATCTTAGTGTGATCACAGCTCTTAAATTCTGAATGGTAATTTGTCTGATGCAGGTTATTTTCAATGTTACTGTACCTACACCTGTATGGTATACTACATGTAGGTATGCAGAAAAGGTATTCAAGCTCTCTTCTAACTGCCCCAATGTGTGTATGTTCCTGGTCTCCTCAGTGATGCAGATGCAGAAGCCAGTGTGTCTGAGAGCCCAGCGCCGGCCGCCCGTGCCCGATCCACCCGTAAGGCGGCGGCTCGTACCAGGGTGAACCTGCAGGACCTGCTGACTGACTCCGGCAGTGACGCGTCCATCGATGACTCTCACATAGTGTAAGGTGCCATTTGAGTGTGATACTTGGGTAAATACTGTAACTGTATGCTTGCTGTAGCTTCTAACATTGTGGTGTGCTTTGCTACTGTGATACTGTATGTGCTTTGCTAGTGCTACTGTGATACTGCATTGTGCTGTTCTACTGTGATTAGTGCTGCATACCGGTTCACTGGAGTTGGATCTGGACTTGTAAGAATGTTTAGGTTCAAGTCCAAAAAAACCTAAAAGTCAAGAACCGAGTCCGGACTTATTATCATAAAAGACCATTTCACATACCCCTTTTCTTTCCAAACCACCTAAAACCTTCCGTAGATTGCAAAATCTTTGCTGCAAAATGAAGAAAACATTACCATCGAGCATCGTCAAGTACCGGCCTCCATGTTATGTGGCCAACGTTTTACCCAGACAACATTGCAAAGTTGCCAACATGGAATTTTATATATGCCATGGGTTTAGGTCCAGACTTACAAGTCCAGAACTGAACCTAAACCTCTGGACTTGAATCCAGACCTGAACCTAAACCTCTGGACTTGAATCCGGACCTGAACCTAAATTTGGGTTTAGGTACACAGCACTAACTGTGATACAGTACAGGTCTTGAACAACTTCCCATCTGCACACGTGCAAATCATGATCAAAAGTTGTGCAAACTGCACTTAAAAGCCTTGAATTTCTCAATTAAAAGGTGCACAATTTTCGCTTAAATAGCATTTATTGTGTAAAATGCGTGTAGATGCTCACATGTAATTTTGTGTCGTTTGCATTCATGTGTGGTTGCAGCTAATACTAGTAAGTGCTTGTGGTTACACATGTGGCTTTTGTACAAGTTTTACTCGCTTGTTAGCCAGCTTTTACACCGCTTTTTTAATCGTCATTTACATTAAAACGTATTTTACTTTAATTTTGCACAAATGATAAAAAAGACAACCAACTAAATGACATTTTTTCATGTTACAGACCCAAAAGGTCAACTCGAAGAACTCTACGCTCATAAGACAACACATCTTAGGGCCTGTTTAACTGTGTAAAAATGCTAATGATAACCAGGGATTATAATAAAGAGTATGAAATGTCAATCATTGAAAAGGAGTAAAAAAAAAATGGACAAGATCAAGAATGAGTAGAACTCTAATGTACACATTTTTTAGTGCCTTGAATTTTATTTCGCTCAGACTCTGAGTCAGACTGCATTTTTGAAAAAAAAAAAAAGGACCTGGGGGGAAAATGTAAACATTGATGACTGCATAGTGTCACTGTCAGCCTACTGTACACACCACGTAGGGGCAATAATTGTCAGCAGAACAGTTCTAATTTTTAGGAAATGCTGTACTGCAGAAATTCTGTTGTCAAGCAAGAATGACACAGTGGTGTGTATTTTCTCATTGATGACTGGAAACCATACACTGAGAACTATGTGAAGTAGTATTCTCCTATCATTCTTATATCAAGTTTTGTCCTTATCTATATTTCCAGTGCACTATATTTGCATTCTGTGATATTGTGCCAATATTAATCTGTTGTAAGGAAAGTTTTATTTGTTTTCGAGATTTCTTTTTCGCTGAATGTATTTTTTAAAAGCTCTTACTTTTGGAAACAAACTATTGCTATATAGTCTAAGGCATGAATGTTGAACTTGGTGATTAAACTGTCAATTATCACCTTCAGCTGATATTAAGTTTCTTGCATACCTCTTGAACTTGAAATTTATTCCACGTGACACACTCAAGGCCATCTTTAAAAACATATTTATTTCAGGGTATTTCAGATTCCTGGTTGCTACATGCTATTAATTACATTGTGTAGTCCACAAATCCATTAACATGTGTAGGCTATCTGAAAGTCATTGAAGCTTACTTCAGTACCTTGAATTCAAATCTTGAGTTGTTGTTTGTGCCTTTGTGTATACGATGTACATGAAATACAATACATGTGCCATGTATAGAAAGGGGCAGTTCCATGTTTAGGGTTGTACTAAGATCATGCAGAATCATATAAACATTAACAAAGACCCTTTCAAAATCATAGTAAAAGTACACTCAGATTACAGGCACATTTTTGGAACTTTGAAAAACTCCACAAAGAAGAGACAGAAAATTTGGAAGTGCATGACCAGGTAAGATACAAATCCTATAAAAAGAGAAACTCCTTGATTACAGCTATCGACCTATAATGTAATTGCTTTTATATCATACCTGGGCCGCGATAACATTCGATAACGGGCCGTACTTCACGGTACGGCCCGGTCCGGAACCCGTTATCGAACGCTTCCATGGCTTCCATAAAACGATTCGAACGCGTTTCGCTCTACCCGCTTGTGCCCCTTTCAAAAATTCGAATACAGAATCCAGACGTTGGAATTGATGTTGTTGCATTTTAGGGTTTAGTGGCACCAACTTTTGGCTCATCTTGCATTGAAAGGCGTGTTTTCTTGGGTGGGTATGACATAAATAAAATACAACACGGTGTATTCCGCATCGGTCCCGGCCCTCCCGCGAGTCGGACCCGCGGTCGGGCCGATACCTCGGGCGATACGGAATACCCCGTGTTGTATTCCATATTGAGAGATTAAGTTATTGAGAAATCAGGAGGGGCCCTCAGTATGTACAATTGTATGTTGAGGACCTGTCATCCATCTACATCTAGTTAAAATTTAATTATTACTTAGTAACACAGTTTACAACACAACAAACATTGAAATCTCATATCAAGCACGTACTGGTACTAATTTTTAACATTCAACATTGACAAAAATCACTCTTTTTCTTACGGTCTAACACCCATCAACTACTGTGTAGCATATATAATCTTGGCTGGAACAAAAGAGTAAACTTGAAATTTCCTGGCTGGATCAGCCAGATTTCATGTCCTGGCGAATTTCTTCGTAACGTAAATGTCTTGGTGTTTAGAGACTGAGTTCACGTTCAAACACTTGCAATTCTGCCTCAGCGTTTCTGACATACCTCTTATGATTTTGGATGGCATCTAAGATCCAATACTTTACACCCTCGGCTCCTGTGAGCCAGGCAGGTCGGTTATGAGTGGTATGGAAGTCAGTTAACACTACCTGTGTGAGACTAGACAGTCCCTCGAATTCCCTGCTGACTGCAGAATTGTAGCTGTCCAGTACCTGACTTGCCTGTCGTTTGTTCTTCACACGACCACACTTGTTGACACACAGGAGGACAGGAACACTCAGGTGAGCCACCCTGGCAAGGGCTCGGATATCTGGAAAAACTAGAATATACTGCAATAATACAACAAATTATACATATTGTTCTAAGGAAGGACTTCAAATGTTAACTTGATAAGTTATTCTATGATGGAATGTGTCCTGTGACAGTCTCCACTTTGACTCTATGAGACAATAAGCAAACATTAGTTCAGTAAGGAATATTTTTTTATACCTAACTGATGGCTTAAATTTGCGGAAAATAGGTAATGTTATTAAATGTAATTTTAGGATGTATAGTGATTGTATACCAATACATCTAAAAATTTTTCAAGGTTTACTGTAACTGGGTTGAAATTTACCACTCAAGTGCTAATGTTGTGCATACAAACCAATCATACATTTTGCACATGTAGTTACCCCCCATATTTATTTATTGTTTATTTCAGGCTCAATGGCCCATAGCACAGACACACAACATTACACAAACACATCTAAAATAAAACATCTAGGTAGGTACAATAGATAAAAGACTGTCGAGCCCTTACGGTGGGCGGACCAGTCTACAGTAATGGCTCCAGAATGGACTAGAGCAGAAGGTCTCCGAGCGGAGCATCTGAGAATGCAATTGTCAAACTCAGTTAATATGGTTGTACACGTAAAAGATGGTGAGGCGGGCATTCTTTCTGCTTTAAGATAGAAGGGGCCACTGCAGGTCATAGAGCATTTGTGTCCACCAGTAGTCATCAAAGGATTCTATATACCATGTAGATCTTACCTGTCTTGCACTCCACCACACAAATGAAGGCCGTACAGATGCCAACACACAGTCTATGAGCTGCATCCACCTCTTTCCCCGGACCACTCGGAAAGGCAAGGACAGGCAGTGTCTCTTCCTGGAAAAAATTTCAAATACAGGATGTAAATTGTGCCATAAAACATCAACTAGCAACTTTTATACTGGTACTACTTGATTCAGTTTTGCCATCCTACTTCATGATGCATTGAAGTAAACAGGTTACTTTATGCATTATACTTGTCATTGACTGTATTCCTTCTGAAAAAGTTAAAAAAAACAACCTCAAGTCAAACATATTTGAAGTTTAATGAAAACATCTTACAGAGTGAATTACCCAGTATAACAACACTCACTGCCATAGAAAAGAACTTACCTCAAGCTCATCTGATCCATCGTACAATTTGACATCATATGGACCAGTGGTGGTGTGATGCGCACTCTTTTCTCCCAAGACAGACTTGACAAGAGTAGTCTTGCCACTGTGTGCAGACCCGACCACCCCAAGTACAAACACTTCCCTCAGCAGACGGCGTAGCTCAAAATGGGCATGTGCAATAATCATGGTGTCATTGATGTTGGAGATGCTGTCATGGAGCCACTCCTTTGCTCTATAATCAAAGTCCCTTCTAACCCTGAACTTGCTGTAGACTGCTAACCTTGAACTGACATGAGGTAAAAGTTCCATCATTTTCCTTTCAGCCTCCTGGGTGGAACAGCGTTTTCTTTCATCTTGCACTTGCTCTTTGATCTTGTCAAGTTTGTATCCTTCCATTTCACTTTCTAGAAGCACTTTTGGCAGAAGAATCAGAGCTTGCAAGTAGTTGACTTTGTAAAAGGCAGTTTTCTTTTCTGATTCATACAAGGCATTTAAGGCCCTGTGAAATCGAAGGAGCTCAGTAAGATGCCTTGCTGGTAAAGTAAGTCCTTCCAAAAAGGCCACAAGTCCAACTGCAAAACAAAATTGATTGTATACTTGAAATCAAAATGGATGAAACTTGCAAATGTTAATTTTCCATTCTATGGATAATTTTGCTGCTATTGTGGAAAGAGGATGATTGTTGGCTATTTCCAAATGATCAGGTCTCTCTGGTAGTCATCAAATCATCAGGTCTATGGGTCATAGCATTACATAGTAGGTTACAAGTACTAGTAATGTTTGACCATTATAAGTCAACAAACTAACTTACCTGTTCCAGCTGCACCTGCAGTAACAGCTCCAACACCCACTTGTAGATCCCCTGCTACGAGACCCACTCTAAAAACCGCTATGAGAACCGCCACTTGACCCGCTTGAAGAAACACTCTGAGATCCGCTCTGAAACCCGCCACGAAAACAGTTCCAAGAACCGCTCCGAGATACACGTCGAGAAACACAATGAGGCCCGCATCGAAACCTGCTTTGAGACCCGCCACGAGACCCGCTCTGAGACCCGCCACGAGACCCACTCCGAGAACCGCTCCGAGAACTGGAAACGTTCTGAGATCCACTACGAGACCTGCTATGTGACCCACCCAGAGAACCGCTATGAGACCCACTCCGAGAACCTCTACGAGACTCTCGATGAGACCTGCTTCGAGAACCGCTCTGAGAACCCCCCCGAGACCGGCTCCAAGAACTGCAACGAGAACCCCAACGAGACCCGCTCCGAGACCCGCTCCGAGATCACCTCCGTGAAACACTATGAGACTCGCTACGAAACCCACTCTGCAAACTGTTATGAGAACCGGATCAAGACCTGCTCCGAGAACTGCTTCGAGAACCACAACGAGACCCGCTCCGAGAGCCACAACGAGACCCACTCCGAGAGCCACAACGAGACCCACTCCGAGAGCCACAACGAGACCCGCTCTGACAACCGCTATGAGAACCGCTACAAGATCCACTCTGAGAACCGCTTCGAGATCCGCTATGAGACCTGCGAGACCCACTCTTAGTACCTCTCCGAGACCCACAACGGGAACCGCTGCGAGAACTGCTCCAAGACCAGCTACGAGACCTGCTGCGAGACCCGCTTCGAGACCCGCTGCAAAACACACGACAATCGTGATTGCACGTCTCAATCCCAACCATGGTGACTTGATTTTGACTTCCAGAGGAGCACCAACGACTTCCATGGCTTCAACCACAGATGTTACAACTTGGCTGTAGGCTTCTCTGGAGATGGCAATGGCTTTAGAACCAAAGACTACAGATGCTGCAGAGGAAGGCAGACTGCTTCTTTCTTTTATGATGTTCTTTGACGCCCAAGAGTAGTTGAAGTCACCAGAATGAAGCGTCTTTTTTGACTGCCCTGTCAAGAAAATGCTTGTCAAACTACTTGTATTTATCCATGAAGTGGCAACTAAGCATAAAAATTTTATTCAATAATGATTAATTGAATAATTTCCTTAACATGTCTGAAAACATGTATGTTCATTCACTATATTTTGTGATGTACATAAAAAAAATGGTAAATGACTCACTTTCAGTTACTTGAATCAGTGACCGCAGGTATTCAAGAATGTCCCCTGCCTTTCCTCTATGTTGTCCAAGCAAAGTTAGTATCATGCTCATCAGGTAGGCTGAGACCAGGAATGTTGCTGAAGTTTTTTCCACCACTCGCTCATTCTCTTCTTGCCTGCCACCAAATTTCTGAAAAGATAACTACAGAGGTGAAGGCTTATTTCTGTTGAATGCCACCTCCTCAAACAAATCTACAAATAGAGGCCACACCATCACTGAATGTCATTGCCATCCATCCTTAAACTTTGCAACCAGGTTCATTTTGTTCATATCTTCAAGCCAATTGTCATTACCAGTCCCTCAGTAATTCAAACAGAAACAATGTGGCTCCTGTGATCAATGAGGGCTTACATGTACATGCAAGCATGTCAGTTATTTTAAAGACAATCCATACCCCATGTATCTCCCATTGCACTTAGTAACTAAGTACAGGTACAAATTGTACCATTCATATTTGAATTATTACGTTGAATTATTATCAAAGATCTTGATATTTTTCTGCATTCAGACAAATGTACATGACTGTTACTGACCTTGGGTTAATTAACATTTTGACAGAAATTCGAGATGTACAGCAAATATCTATCGTGAGTACCAAACGTGTACATGTACATGTACCCAAAAGTCTGGATGTACATGTGTAAGAGAACTCACCCGCTGATGTGCAACATCATCCCTCCTTTCCTGGAGATCAGTGTACAGAACTTTTCCTATTCCTACTGGAAACTCGTCAGTGAACCATGTCTGTGGTCTGGCACAGATCTCAGCACCTGTCATCCTCAAATCAGGGATGGTGGCTGTCTGGTCAGATGGCAACAGTATCCTACCAACCCACTGGGTTACTTCCACATGGTCCCAGGCCCTGGGATCTGTGTTAATGATCATTGACAACTGATATACATGAAAATGATCATGAGGATCTCACTGGCATAATCAATGAGAAATGTAATTAGTCATAAAGGATATCATCATTTAACAAAGATAGTAGGTCATGGACTCTTGTTATGATAATGATTACATCTAGGCATCAACCCATCAGGATTGAGACCAATATAACTATTATACAGCTTAATGGCCATCTCAAAAAGTTTTGGGTCAAGGCCAGAGGACAGGTTTTCTTAATATATTATGATTACATGCATTATGGGTTAAATTGAGAACTCTGGGCTGAATCATTACATTAATAGAAACAACACAGACTACTGGATACAGCATGCATGTACTACCAACAACTGTTTGTTAATTGCCTACCCCCTACATCACCAATAATTCTGTATCCCGAACATGCCAATACACAAGTGAGGTTTTGAAGACTTACCATTATGAAGCTCCCCAGTAAAAAGTGTTGAATCCTCAACTGTTATGTAGATAACCCCAAGATGACGCAGCTCCTTCTTACACTGTTCTGATGCCATCTTCTGTATGATATCTGCTGGCCTCTTCAGTGACAACTCTTCCACGTTGAGAAGGTACTTGACAAGCACACATTCCCGATGTCTTACTTCATCTAAGATGAGATTTCCTAGCCCTTGACTGCATCGGTTGAGTGCATCAGCAATGTCTTGACATGTCCTAAGGTAGTCCTCCTCAGACTCTGCTGCATGTTTGATTTGCAACACCATATTGCCAAAACCTGGGATTATGAAAATAATAACATTGGGCTAAGTTACACCATGCTGGCAGTAGACAACTCACTCACTCAGCTCCGCATGCCCTAAAAATTAAATAGACAGTCTTTCTGCATCTTATTATGTGAAACTTTACATGTAGTTATTAAAGGAAATGCAATATCAGGGTCTAATTTACATGTTCCATGATATGCCAATTCAATCTTGTGACATATGTAATTAAGAGGAAGAGAAACGTTGATATTAATTATGTACATTGTTACTCAAGTTGCATAATTAATGAGAGAATTCTATATTTCCATACTGGCAAATGGCGGGAGTGTCATACTTGCGGCATTTGGCAAGTGAACATAAACATCATCAAGCTGCATAACTTATTCCATTCAGGACCTCATTTGCATAATTTATGAGGAAGTGCTAGAATAGCTTTCTTTAAAATTACACTGTCATTGGGTGGAGAATACGAACAACTGAACAACAATTCATGCAAATATTGATCTTATTTGAATAATCACCATCAATGTGACAATGAAACATTTATTTTTCGACAATCACAAAGGTTAACGGAGGTATGAGATCGTGGAACTCTAGCACTTACTTCCGGGTTCTGGGTGCGTAAACTGTTGGATCCGCTCCAAAAGCTGCACATTTGGGAGTTCCTGCAGGATTCTGGCGACCACTTGAAGAGCTTCTCGTCTTGGAATGTAGCGTAAGATTAAGTCGGGCATGTCCAGTCGTTTTGCACGCATAATACGCGCCTTTGGTATGCTCACATTGTCGCTACTAACGACACAATCAAGGTGATGTTTGAAGCTCCTGTATTCGCCATTGTCCATGTCGTCAAAAATTCCCAACAAAAGTTTCTTGTAAGAGCCATACAAATGGGCTGGACCTGGCGGTCGCCTTGGCTCATCCCCACCAGCTGCTGCCATCACTGAGTGATTACCGTGAGTAACTCTAGATCTGGGGAGAAAAACATGTATCACTACTATCAGCTTGCACGGTAATCAGTTTGCACCGTATTAAGTTTGACCTAAGTCGAACCTCTTTGAAAGGCCAGCAAAAAATAAATGGGGGCCTTCATGGCATTTTTCGTTAAGGCGTAATCAGGCCTTTTTAGTCGTCGTAATCCGTAGGCAGCCTCTTCAAAAATCAACGTAACATATAGAACATTAGCCACAAAGCGTAAAGTCGTCATCAGCGGCAAAAATTTTGCGTAATTCGTAATCACTACCCCCCCCCCCCGTACTAACGGTCACGACCGTGCTTACCTTTAGCCAATAATGCCTCTGCAAAAGTACCTCTGCAACAATGCGTAATGTAGATAACAACGTTATATGGACCAACCTTGCAGCAAAACAGCGGTCGAAGTAACTCATTCAAGGTCAACGTAACGTTACAATACTTTTTTCAGTGGACAATTGATGCGCATTGATTTGACCAGCCCGGGACGACCAGTAATTCGCCGCTGGGTCGGGTACTGTACAGGTAAAGGCAGGTGTCGCATGTCGCTGAGAGAGTGAAAAGGGGCAGTGTTTTGTTGTAGGACTACAATTAAAAACCATCTTTTGTAACTTCGTGTAATATCTCCTTGGTGCCCATGCAAGCCGTATGTAAGTCGTGTTCCAGCCTCAATCATAGAAATTAGCCGGTAGAAATCATCCGAGCACTACGTAGCATGGTGCACCTGGGCGACGCGGAAGGATATCTGTAGAACGGGGAATATTATGGTCTATTATTAGGAAGGAAATCACCTGTGACGTGTGCCGGGCAACGCCGGCGAGCTTGTCGGACTGAACAGAGACGTTCCAAGTGATACTGTACAATTGTTCTTATGAGTCTTGTTTCGTGTGCCGTGAGCAAAAGTACCGAAGTAACGGGTTCCTTTCTCAGCACTCGGTATACAGAGGTGAGGCGGCTTCCGTCCTAGCTCTCCAGTGCCGAAGTTACGTCAACACTTGTGTCCAGTGTCGGCGGCTTCAGCACTGGAAACTCTAAATCGGCAAATCAAACCTTGTCTTTAGAAAGGGTACCGAGATGCCGCCTTTGAACTCTAACACTTATATTTTTGAGATCGTACCGCCCGGGAAGCAAATTATAATCGGGACGACAAGTTAATCGGCAGGACAATACTGCAAGGCTCAGATCCTCACATTTTTAGACATAGACTTGGCCTACGACAATGTACTGTACGCCGCGCGCGGCCGACGTAAGCACCAGAGGCCCAGTGCCGAAATGGTTTGAGAACTCGGCTCCCAGCACCAAGAGTCACCGAGCACTGGAACGATCCAGTGAGGAACCCGTTACTTAGGGACTTCGGCACTTGCTATCCAGTGGTGAACGGCCTCCGAGCACTGGTAGCGAGTGCCGAGTGGAAATTCAACACTGGCTATCCAGTGCTGAACGGCCTCCGAGCTCTGGCAAACGAGTGCTGAGTGGAAGTTAGCACCGGAAAACGAGTGCCGAGTCAAGATTCGGCTCTGGAATTCCAGTCCTGACGGTGTTTCAGCACTGGAACAAAGCCGTTTCTGCACTAGAATTCCAGTGCGGAGCTTTCTTCCGCACAGGGCCCCGAGTGCCGACGCCACTTTCCCCGTGAGTTCCGCACTGGGCGGCCAGTGAGGAACCCGTTACTTCGGTACCCTTGCGTGCCGTGATCCGTATAAAAGCTCTCAAACCCCTTCTACAAGGTTTGTACAATCTCCAAGCAGATATCTTTTGGTGGCTGCGACACAGAAAATTGGCTAGGTTGTATCCATTTGCCAGACAGTTTTGCCACCGAAGGGTGGTAGTTTGAAGGAAATGTACTCAAAATCATCTATTGGTATTGCAAAGGAACCATAAGATGCACGAACTAACATTCTATTACAACGTTTTCAAATGTCTTAAATATAATACATGATTTTGCTTCGTATATGTTCGTAGGATATAGTACAAGGTCAAATAAGCCTCAAAACTTAAAACCCCTTCGCGAGCCTTTGGCCATTTCGCTTTCCGCTAAAAGACCGAAACGTGCCCATTATGTCGTCTGTCTCCTTAGTGATTTTTCTGAGCACGGTCGGGGAGCAGTACTGGGGGTTAGGCTCTAATAGGGTATATGTCTCGACTTGTAAGGCCATGTTGATTTGATTATATGGATGACATCCTCCGGGAGCCCCAAAACTGATGCGCGCGTGCGAATAAAAAAAAAGTTTTGCAAAAAAAAAAGTTCTTTTCATTATGAAATCTACGTGGTCATGAGGGTTGAGCAAATGGCACAGAATATGGTTTGGCGAATAATCTAGTCTTCAAGTTCATTTCTTTACAATTTCATCTTTTTTCGTTTGATTTTGGCATTCTACGACATTGGTATAGTTTTTATTAATTTTTTTGTAACTTATGGTATATTTTTGCTCATTTTGCAACTGTTTTGTACGATTTACAGTATGGTTGAAAACTTTTTTTTTTTGGAAACGGCCGAAAATTCATGCGCGCGCGGATGTCATCCATATAATCAAATCAACATGGCCTAAAGGGTGAAAAAAATACTAGTATACATGAAACTATGCTTACAGCCAGTAAACCTTTCCCTAATAGGTGCAGATCTAGACGTCACCTTTGCGTACATTTAAATTTAGAATTTTAAACACAGTTGGCCAGTTTCGCAATTAAGGAAATCTTTATTCAACGATGGCGCCGAGTGCTCCTCTTGCCAAGCAATTCCAAAACATTCCGCTAAAACTGCCCAGTATAATATATAAGATGTAAGATCCAGAAAATACACAACAGACCACACAACAACATTAAAACTGAAGTTTTGTGACCATGTGGCGAAGAAAATCCACAAAACACACAAAACATTTGGTACAGCAAGTATAAACTCTACAGACACACACTTACAGTAACCATGGCTATTTTCAACACTGTAATACGTATTTCATAATTTTGATATACATGTATTTATAAGTTGATGTCATCATAATTAAGTTAAGCAAAACGGAGCTATGGCCTAAATTGTACACTGGAGGCGTTCAGGACAGCTTCTTCATATTTCACTGCGCATTGCTGGACTACTGTCCTGATAGTACTAGTAACACGGGCTAGTCATCTCAGACCGTCCTGGCTCCCTTCGCCTCGTATTGTCATCGACTTGGTCAGTCTACGCTCTTCTCCTCAGTGTCACAGTTGGTGTCTGTAATTCGTTTCACGACTCCTGAGTACTGACAATGTCATTATCAATTTACTTTGATTGTTTCTGCCGCAGCACTTTCTGGTAGCATTACGCCAACAATACAAGTTTATAGGTAGGACATAGGTAATTTGGATCTGTTCATTTTACCTGTACCTGTATGGGCAACGTTACTAAGATAAAGTGTTTGTATTAAAACATCAGTATGTACGGGCCGGTATGTACCTAGTATTTCTAGTAGTGCACCTTTTGAACGATTCGCAAGGAGGCGCTGTACTATAGAAAGACAAACTACTAGTTGAAACTTTGAAACTTTACAAATGAAACTTAGAAACTTTATGTGGTACAATGCATTATAAATATTTTTTTACAAAATGTGCGTTAAACATTAAGCCGGATCGTTACATCTTCTCGGAGATTATGTAAATAAACGGACAGAAACCTATTATTTCGTAGACGTGGTTGCTGAAAGGCCCTCCCTCCCCTCCAATGTAGCACTGCGTGGACGGTCCGTACACCTTGAAGTTGACATTCTCGTCAGGTGAACCCGCACACCAGCCGCCGTTCTGTAAAGCGAAGATCTTCATGCCCAGAGCGCGCGCTACGGTGTAGCACTTGGTCAGGGCGTCCTGGCGCTCGCTGTAGTGCCCGTCTAGCAGAGGGTCTTGGCGCTCGAGTGAGGGGATGGCTCGTCGGTAGGTGTCCCTCCAACAACCAAGGCTCTGGTACCCGTCTTCTGTGGACAAGGAGTAGTACTCTGGTTAGCCTTCAGCGTTAAAGGCATCCAATGCAATTTCAGGCCGGCAAAAACGAAAAATAGATATTCTGGATGAGGGAATCTCTCTAATCATCATCCTCCTCAATGCCTTCGGATTATAAATCCGGTGAGGTACACTTGATAAAGTTACTCCAGTATGTCCTATCCCTCATGGCAGACACTAATGCAGTCCCAGTGTCTCTTTTTTAACATCTAACATGTCCTTATACTACACAAAAGTGTAATATAAGCAGAATATCTCTCTAATATTGACATTTAATGCTAATTTTTAGCACATTCTCGTCATCATTTCACACGTTTGAAATAGCCCCAAAATTAAACAAGCAACACGAAGTGTCTCTTAATTTAGGGTACCACCCATAAATAGCTAGAAGCATGCAACCTAAGATACAAAACTAAACAACCGTTTTCCGTCAGTAACATCTCATTTTTGCATGCCACAAAGGTTTCAGCATGCTATGGGATAGAGTTGGTTCGACATTGAAAGAATGACAGGAAAATTTACTACATGTATATGAGTTGAAAATAATTTTGCCGCCCTAAAATGCGTATGTATTGAAGATTGAAAGGAAGCACAATATGACCAATACACACAGGCCTATACAATGTACATGTACTTGTTCGCCACGTACCCTACAACCACTCTCAAATAGGCGTAATGTTGCAAGCCTTGCGTTATTACCTCCATGAAACGTGTCATGGAGGTTATATTTACCTCCATGAAATGTGTCATGGAGGTTATATTTTCAGTTGCGTTTATCTGTTCGTCCGTCCGTCCGTCTGTCTGTTGGTCAACAAGATAACTCAAGAACGCCTGGATGGATTGGTTTCATACTTGGTGTGTTGGTAGGGTGTGACAAAAACTGGAAATGATGAGATTTTGGTCCCCCTAGTGGCTTCCCTTGGTACTGCAGCGCAACTTCCGGTTTTGATATCTCGCGATCTGGACATGCTAGGGTCATGAAATTTTGATGGAAGGTAGCTCTCGTGCTTGGAAAGAAGTCATATGAGTTTGGGCTCCCTAGCGGCTTGTTCTGGAACTGCAGGGCACTTTCTGGCGAAATGTTTAAAAGCCAATAAGTCCAGACAGGAACAACATATTTTCATTATTTTTGGTGTGTAGGTAGCTGAGAGAGAGATGTACATAATTAAATGCAAATTATGCAAATGAGGACTTTACTTGCATAATTAATGAGGAAATTCTATAATTACAGTGTTTTACATTATACTATGTAACCTATGGCAGGCGGAACTTCAACAGATACTAATTATGCAAATGATGACCTAATTTGCATAATTAATGTGTATAATTCTATGATTTCGTAATGGTGAATGATGAGAATGTCATACTTGGGACATCTGTAAGTTAATCAAAAGTTAACATACATCACGATGCATATATCATGTTAATGCAGAGGTCATTTGAACAATTAAAGAAGAAATTTACATTTACATATCAAGATCATATTTCATGGAGGTATGAGATCTCGGAATTCTAGTTTCAGTTGCGTTTATCTGTCCGTCCGTCTGTTGGTCAACAAGATAACTCAAGAACGCCTGGATGGATTGGTTTCATACTTGGTGTGTTGGTAGGGTGTGACGAAAACTGGAAATGATTAGATTTTGGGCCCCCTAGTGGCTTCCCTTGGTACTGCAGCGCAACTTCCGGTTTTGATATCTCGCGATCTGGACATGCTAGGGTCATGAAATTTTGATGGAAGGTAGCTCTCGTGCTTGGAAAGAAGTCATATGAGTTTGGGC